TCTTTGGGAAGAAAAATCACGACGTTGTGTTCTTCAGGAACGGGCTCATTTTTGCTCCTGAAAGGGGAGGAGTGGAGGGATTGCAGACATAGTTCCTCACAAACAGCCCTTATGGGCTGGTAAGTGCTGTGCCTCTCACCGGGAGTCGCATACAACTTTATTGTTCAGCATTTTTACGTGGAAAAGATAAAAGTGGGCTGCAAACCCTGTCTCTGCTGGTGCTGCTCGAGCAAATGCAAAGGGATTTCAGCAGCTCTGCTGGGTTTGTAGCGAGCTTCAGGTGGCAGATCCAGCTGGAGGCAAGGCCAGGTGAGGTGCTGCTCTCTCCTCCACAGCCACTGCAGCTTGGGAAGCTCTCCCTGCAAAAGCCAGGGCCCATTCCCTGATGAGCAGGTGGCAAAGCATCAATAAGATGAATCCTTCCCCCGTGGCAAAATACAAGGGAGTGGCTTTGTCCCTGCAGCTGGTGGAGCCCGGGCACAGTCAATAAAATATACACTTCGTCAGAAGGCCCCAGGCAGGCTCTGGAGCTGCTCCAGGAACACGGTTCTTTTTCAAAAGCTTTGTGAAGGCCCATCGCTTTGGTCACACATTCGAGGAGTTGCCTAACTTCTCCACCTTTTGTTTCAAGTGAGTGGCTCCAGTGTGAAGTGATTCCCACCCATGTGAAGTGATGGGTGGGAGATGCACGTTTGAAAAGGAACTTCGTATGTTTTTGTTATAAACCATTGTTTCTTTGTTTCTCAAGAGCCACACAGACCCTTCTCCACCCGATCCCTGTGTTTCTCTCCCCTGGGGATGCCCTCACTTCCCCCGGCAGGAAGGCACCAGGAAGGTACCCCCCAATTACAGCTGAACTATTTGCAGCACCGCCTGCTGGGGAGGCTGTCACCGCTGTGTCACTTCCCAGCGCTCACGGGCTGAGCTAAATCCATCGGCAACGTTTCCCAAGTAGTAACTGCTGAGGAGGCCCCTGCACAGACCGAGCCAATCATCTGCCAGAACTCAAAACCCCAGGGTCGCTTCAGCAAAGTAAAAATGATGTTTCAGGCCACTACTCGAACCCCCACAGAACAACTCCAAACAAAGCAGCTGCCGACAGAGAAGCACCCGGGTGACAGGATGGACCAGGGCAGAGCTGCAAAGGAGGAGCAAGGACTGCAGGTGATAAATTCACCAAAGGCCTGGCAGAGTAAAGCCGAACGGATCCGGTGCCTCTCCCAGGCTCTCTGGTGCTCTTTTCCCTCCCCACTTTCCCATCCCTGATGCTCTAAACTGACCCTACCAGAAAATGTGCTGTTTTCTAGATACACCTGTCATTTGGTTTCCAGTAGCAACTCAGAACGTCTTTGACGTGTCACCTGCAAACAATGTTTCAGGGAGTTTTAATTATCCGGAAAATCTAAATATTTTAATAATGACTTAAAATTCGTTTGGGCTGAACACAAAGATGACACACACTGACATTTTTTAAAGACCCCAGGGTTAACACTACTAATTAACAGCATTAAACAGTCATCAGTCAGTTCTGTGCTCACAGAACAAATGTTACAAATGTGAAGAAAATGGAGAACATAAATTCCACCTTTAAACAAAAACCCCACATGGGGATCTGCTTTTAAATAGTTTTGGCAGCAAAAGTATTTTTACTACGATTACAAGCAAACGAGCCCAAATCCTGAGAACTGGGACAGCCACCNTTTAGCCTGCTACAAAAAGCATATTAAAATCAAGCTGCTGCGTTGACATGAAGGCTCTCCTCTGAAGGAAACTCAACATTGCTTTTGTATGTTTAGTTATTTTAAGAATCCATAATTTGCATGAAAATTGGCAGCTCATAGAGATGAGCACAGAAATAGCACAGCTTAATTTTAAAAATACTGACACCCCCCCCCCCCCCGAGTGTACGCGCTGTAATTCTGTACTATCAGTTTTCAGAAAGGCACGCTAATATTGATCTGGAAAAAGCATTTAAACCACTGTGCCCCTTGGAGCCTTTAAAACACATTTACAGGGTTCTCAGCGTGCTGATGTGATTTAAAAAGGAAAAGGAAAAAACCCCAACCAAACAAAAAAAAAACAATAACCCAGGTTCAGGCCTCTTTGGGAAGAAAAATCACGACGTTGTGTTCTTCAGGAATGGGCTCATTTTTGCTCCTGAAAGGGGAGGAGTGGAGGGATTGCAGACATAGTTCCTCACAAACAGCCCTTATGGGCTGGTAAGTGCTGTGCCTCTCACCGGGAGTCGCGTACAACTTTATTGTTCAGCATTTTTACGTGGAAAAGATAAAAGTGGGCTGCAAACCCTGTCCCTGCTGGTGCTGCTCAAGCAAATGCAAAGGGATTTCAGCAGCTCTGCTGGGTTTGTAGCGAGCTTCAGGTGGCAGGTCCAGCTGGAGGCAAGGCCAGGTGAGATGCTGCTCTCTCCTCCACAGCCACTGCAGCATGGGAAGCTCTCCCTGCAAAAGCCAGGGCCCATTCCCTGATGAGCAGGTGGCAAAGCATCAATAAGATGAATCCTTCCCCCGTGGCAAAATACAAGGGAGTGGCTTTGTCCCTGCAGCTGGTGGAGCCCGGGCACAGTCAATAAAATATACACTTCGTCAGAAGGCCCCAGGCAGGCTCTGGAGCTGCTCCAGGAACACGGTTCTTTTTCAAAAGCTTTGTGAAGGCCCATCGCTTTGGTCACACGTTCGGGGAGTTGCCTGACTTCTCCACCTTTTGTTTCAAGTGAGTGGCTCCAGTGTGAAGTGATTCCCACCCATGTGAAGTGATGGGTGGGAGTTGCACGTTTGAAAAGGAACTTCGTATGTTTTTGTTATAAACCATTGTTTCTTTGTTTCTCAAGAGCCACACAGACCCTTCTCCACCCGATCCCTGTGTTTCTCTCCCCTGGGGATGCCCTCACTTCCCCCGGCAGGAAGGCACCAGGAAGGTACCCCCCAATTACAGCTGAACTATTTGCAGCACCGCCTGCTGGGGAGGCTGTCACCGCTGTGTCACTTCCCAGCGCTCACGGGCTGAGCTAAATCCATCGGAAACGTTTCCCAAGTGGTAACTGCTGAGGAGGCCCCTGCACAGACCGAGCCAATCATCTGCCAGAACTCAAAACCCCAGGGTCGCTTCAGCAAAGTAAAAATCATGTTTCAGGCCACTACTCGAACCCCCACAGAACAACCCCAAACAAAGCAGCTGCCGACAGAGAAGCACCCGGGTGACAGGATGGACCAGGGCAGAGCTGCAAAGGAGGAGCAAGGACTGCAGGTGATAAATTCACCAAAGGCCTGGCAGAGTAAAGCCGAACGGATCCGGTGCCTCTCCCAGGCTCTCTGGTGCTCTTTTCCCTCCCCACTTTCCCATCCCTGATGCTCTAAACTGACCCTACCAGAAAATGTGCTGTTTTCTAGATACACCTGTCATTTGGTTTCCAGTAGCAACTCAGAACGTCTTTGACGTGTCACCTGCAAACAATGTTTCAGGGAGTTTTAATTATCCGGAAAATCTAAATATTTTAATAATGACTTAAAATTCGTTTGGGCTGAACACAAAAATGACACACACTGATATTTTTTAAAGACCCCAGGGTTAACACTACTAATTAACAGCATTAAACAGTCATCAGTCAGTTCTGTGCTCACAGAACAAATGTTACAAATGTGAAGAAAATGGAGAACATAAATTCCACCTTTAAACAAAAACCCCACATGGGGATCTGCTTTTAAATAGTTTTGGCAGCAAAAGTATTTTTACTACGATTACAAGCAAACGAGCCCAAATCCTGAGAACTGGGACAG